CCTAGAATCTAGCCTCACAGTCCTTCCTGAATCAGGAAATGAATGACTTGTAGATAGCAGATTTCTCAGGGATAAAAGACTCCCTAAACAGCAAATGTATTTAGCATGTGTCTGTTCACAGTCATGTCCCTCCAGAAACCTGGTGAAAACAGGTGAAAACAGGTGACCTGGGAGACCTGCCAACTAAGAGGTTTGGTAAAACAGAAGGGAAAAAATGAAGCTTTTCTCAGAAAGGGAAGCTAAAAATAGTAAAGGCCAAGGGAGTCTCAGGTGTTGCTGAAAAACTGACAGGGAACAGATTTTAAGAAAGCAATAACAACAACAGAAAAGTCAGAAAAACATGCTAAAAAGCGTCCCAGGGCAAGAAAGGAAGAAAAGATGAAGAAAAGACAGGTTTTGAAAATGGCTGTATGTCAAGCATGTTGTCTGGAACAGGCCACAGAAGTTCTGTCTCAATCCAATGGATGAGAATAGGAACACAAACCACAGATTACATTGTTCCTTCTGGCATGAAAGATACAGAGGTGCAAGGCACCAGAGTGCTGTACGGTAAACAGGCTGCTTAAAGTGGATTCATACCCACAGTGGAATGTGCAAATAAACAAGCCCTTCAAGAATAGTAACATTTTATTATTAAGAACATTTACTATAAAACTACATCATTGCACAAATTCAGATTGTGAACAATAGGAGGCACTTCTCAGAGGTTTGATGACATCACAGTTCATTTGAACTTTACCCGTATACATATGTTGTCACCTAAGCCCTGTGATGTATATATAATTCCAAAGGATGGCGCTGTTAATGTATTAATATATTATTGTGGGTTTCTTTCAGTAGGATACAGGATGTTGGTTTGAGGTCAATGGTTGCACTGGCAAAGGAAAAAAAGGTTGAGAGAACAGGTGTTCTGAGGTTGCCAGTTGTGCTTGCAGAGAAGAAAAAGTTGTATATGAGTGTTATTATGTTGCAGCTGGTTAAACATGCAAAGAACACAAGTAATTCTTGGGTGGTATTTTGCTCATATTTTAACATAGTTCTCTATATGACATTAATGTCATACCTGGAATGAAAAGCAACGTGTTTTTGCAATCTTTAAGTGGTTCAGAAAAAGTTTCATTAGTATTAGGAGTTTTCCAGTAACTCTTTACAATCATTTAAATTTAAATGATTAAATCCTACAATGAACCAGGATTCAAACTCAAGTTTTCTCTCATCTGAAAATATATGGGAGAAAGAGAATGACAGCTGCCACTCCCTCCCTACTCCCTGCTCCTTTTAGAGTTAACAAAGGTACAAAGATATTCCTTTTTCCTGGAGAAAATGCTGGAAATGTCACAAGACTACATCTGAGAAGAGACTTCTCCCTCCTAAGCACAAGGAAGGACTACCACTGTAATGAACCAGCTTTGTTTTTTTCTGTGCTTGTAACAAAAGCGAGAAAGGTCCAATGAAGCAGATGTCAGCAACCTGTAGCCTGTCAGCTGAATCCTACAACAACCAGCAACAACTCCTACTGCCTAATTTGTTGCGTCTTTCTTTTTCCTGGCTACCTGCAAGACTAGTTCCAACCTTTTTCTGTAAAAACTTATTTTCCATTGCCTTCATTGGAGCTCTTGCTAAGAGAATTTTCTCTGGAGCTGACTGGCGACTTGGGACTTAGTAGCACAACCCAGACCTGGCTGATAAGGCCTGCAGAGTAGGCCTAGTCAGGAGAGGAATATGGGTCTTACTCTTCTCCCCCTTTTCTTTATCAAGGTCCATAAAGAAACAAGAGGTAACAGGAGAGTTTGCAGTTGTGATCTTAAGATAATATGCAAGTATGTGCGTACATAAAGTATTAAATGTATAGACATTTCATTTATTAAAATGCAATGTATTTAAAAATATTAGATATCACATTTATCTCTGCTTTACTGAAGATGACAGTACAACAATAAAATAAAGTTTGTGTATATGTGTAGCAAAATAGCATGATGAAAATATTATATCAGAAGTCAAATGCGTCTTTCATTTACCCATATATAATTTATTATGAGCAACTGCTTCTGTCTGAATAATTTATAGTGAAATATGTGAGTTTTACTGATAAAAATTAATTTTAAATTTTTACACAGCTATTTTAGGTGATCTTTAATGAAAGACATTCTGATACCACTCTTGAAAATAAAATTAATCAAGTGTGGAGGAAGGGACTGCTTATACAGGTTATGCTAATATCAATTGAGATTGTTTTCAGTAAGATTTCTAAGCATAATAATTGGAAAACATACGCCTTTTTGGACAGTTCATTTTGACTGCTTAATGGCTTCCATGCACACATTTCCATTGCTCACCTCCATTTGGCAATACTGTTGTAAAAAAAGATACTTTTCCAATTGTAGGGATAATCAAATTTAATTCTGACCAGAACCAATGACAAGATATAAAAGCATGTGGATAATGTATCCTTAATGTTTGATGTTTCTGATGTAAACTGTAAACTTATGCTCTATTAACTATGACTCCTTTTAAAAAAATTTAAAAATCTATGTTGATATACATACTGAAACAATGAGACACATGCAGCATAATATGATCATATATGAAGACTTCATTAAAACATTTAACCAACAGGACCGACTCTCAACTATGCAGCAGGGTTTTTCCAAAGTGGGTTCCAACTGTGTCTCAATGGCTTTTGGCTTTATAAACCCAAGGACAAGAATAAGGATTACGTCCTCTCTGTACTATCTGGCTTGCAAAGGAACCCACACAGGAAACCAGGATCTCAGCCCATCCCTCTCCTTCATGCAGAAAGTAGGAGACTTGAGATGAGGGTGCAATATGTAGTATGAGAAATGAAGACTTCCCTCTTCTCTGGACAACGCCATGGTCTGGCTCCATGCTTAGGCAACCTTTGGATTTCAGGGAACTCACACTGATCCCTTTTTACTTCAACAACTGCACTGGCAATATAAAATTAATCCCCCAAAATGGATGCCAGAGATGGTGCATGGAAGGTAGAAAAGCCCACAGAGAATTTTGCCAAGTTTGCTATGTGGGAAAAAATCCATTCAGACCCCTAAATAAAGTTTGACAGGCAGCCAAATAAATATTAGCAATAAAAGTCAACACTAAAACATTTAAAAGCGACTGCTTGGCTTTGCTTTTTGGAAAAGCTTGGCTATCTCTATACTGCACCACAATGTATAATGTAGGCACATTCATAGAAAAGGACTTGACCCTATGTACAAGTATTCCCAAATCCTTGTCAAGTAGATTCATAAAAATGCAATGGTTGCACAGGCAACTACAGTCGGTCCTTTCAAAAGTTGGAGCTTTTAAAAGAAGAATGAAGCAGCCTAACAAGATATCCTTGAAATCTCTTTAAATGCAAAGAGCTGCCTGATTTTTGCTTGCTCACATGGAAAGAGTAAAATATTTTGTGATAAATTATTAGATATTAAAGCCAGAATTGTAAAGGGGATTTTCCACATTCAATTTAAAAAAAAAAAATACTGCACTGAAAGAGGACATAATGAAGCCAGAAAAGTGTCCACAAAAACTGGATAGAAAGCTAAAAATGCTGAAAAAGTATAAACCAAAAAACTAAGAGAACAGCTGAACGCTGGACCCCCTCTACACATTACAGGTATTGAGCAATTAACTGGTTACCAGCTACATGTGCAAACATGAACTGCGCATGCCCTCAGTGGCTGGGGTGGCACAGCTGCGCTGGCGGGAGCGCAGCAGCAGTAAGCTGGAGCTCCCATAGATGTCACCAGCACTGTCAGTGGTGGGGGGAGGGGAGTGGCGAGTGCCAACCAGGGGGTGGCAACCATCTGCAGGCACTGCCGGAAGTGTCAATGGCAGCCAGCAGTGTCCCCCTGCAGGCGCCGACAGCAGTGTCCACCTGCAGATGCCACTTTTTGCAAGGGGTCCACTTCCATGCTCAGGGGGTGCACGTGCACTTGCATGCACCCCCTACACATCGCCCCTGTGCGCAAAGTAGCAATCACACCAAAAAAAGCTCCAACAGCAGTACAGTTAGACCTTGAAAATGTGTACTAACTTTATAGCTGGTTGCTATCAAGATTTAATTTGCACGTGTAGCAGGGTCTCCCCTGTGGCTGGGAGCCCCGTCAGTTGATAGGTCTCCAAGCCACAGGGTTGCATCTTGCCCAGCATTTAATCCCCAAGTCCTAAGGATCATGGCTGCCATGATCCCTAAGGCTTGGGGGGGTATGTGAAACCCCAAGTCTATGCAGGGCCCTCGGTCCTTCAACTGACAGGGCTCTTGGCCCTGGCTGCACCCCACTTGCAGCTGGGACCAAAAGCCCTGCAACTGATGGCGCCTCCAGCCCAGGCTCTGCCTCACTTGCAGCCAGGTCTGAGAGCCTCGCATCTCCATACCCTGGCTGCATGTCACATGCAGCGAGGTCTCCCAGCCATGGGAGCCTGCTTCTTGCCAGGGCAGGGGGAGCCCAATTGCACAATTGTGCCTCCTGCCATGCACATATAGTATGGCAAGATGCACAACTGTGTGGATTATGCATTAGATCCAGTTGTATCTTTACCTACACGTGTAGAGGGGGCCTTACAGTCAAACACAATTAAAGTACTTCAGCTCCTGAGTTCAATGAGTAGGTTGGACAAATAGGAACCGCACAGGTATTTCAACAGTAAACCAAGTAATATTTTAGGACATACCATTCAAATTTTAACTGTAAATGACCTCTTTTTTAAGATATTATATAAATGAGACAGCAATCTGGGAAAAAAAGGTTTATTTTCTCCATAAAGAAATGCTCTCATATTAGCAAATATTGCAAAATCAGTAATATTTTTAAAAGGTTACTTTAAAATTAATGTGGAAAATAGTTATTTGTTCATTTTTAACATATATCTGCATTAAGCTCAAATGAAAGATACCAAATGCAAAGCCAATTATTAGCTTTTCAACAGCTTTTCAAGTAAATTTGATAGTCAAATGCAAACAATTAGAACTGTAAACATACCTTTTTCATCAGCTTTGTCTCTTATTACTAGAGTATCATTACTCAGAGATACACTCTGGGCATTTAGTATGTCTGTCCTCATTCCTGGAAATTTTGGAGATGAAATTAATCGTCCATCATAGGAATATATATAGATCCCTCCACCATCTATTAGAAGAAAATGCCTATAAAACAAGCAAACAATGATCATAAGTTACCTGTTTTCATGGAAAGCTGGTAAAAGTTTCAGTAATTGTAAGACAATTTTCCAAAATACTACAATTGCTGTTGTGTGAAAACTAAGATATTTATAAATTTTACATTTGGAATTCAATATTCTAAAACAGAATTCTATACTGACTAATTCAATTTTAATGGCAGCATTTTTTTTCAAATATAACTATAAAGCTATGGTACATCTATTACTGTGATTCTTTAAGTAAGGATCTGCTATAAATTAATACTCCTAAATTGCACATCATGAAGATAAAGCATGCATTTACAGGTAGTTTCAAGATGCTAAAACCTTTAGTCCTGTACACAAAACAGCACATAGAAGCTTGGGAGTCTCACAGTGGGCTTACTGGATGTACAGATTAGAAACCACTTCAGAAACTGCAACTGCCTTCTTTATACCTCACTGTATCTATTTCTTCATCATGACTGAACTGTCATGAAAGGTAGATGGAATGCAGATATTTAGAAAACGTTCCTTTTTAATTGAGTCTAACCTCAATTTATTAAAATGCCTTCTCCCAAAAGAGAAATGGCTTCTTTCCATATTCCTATTTGTGGGCTAGTATTAATAATAAAATACCAAATAAAAATTACTGCTAGGTAGATGGTGTTATCCATACTATACAGATACATGAATTCATAAAGAGAAAGCTAAAAGGCCATTGGATTGAATTCCTCCCAAATTTTCAAAAGTGGCTTCTAATTTTGAGTACATAACTTTAAACAAAGGATGAGAGCCTCAAAAATGCTGGCTACTCACTGAGTATGTCTGGAGTTATAAAAGTGCAGCTGCTCTGAAAATGAGGTCAAAGGTATTGAAAGTTGGTCATTCAACAATTAAAAGCATGGACAGGCAAGGTAAATGTGGTATCTTTTATTAGACCAACTAAATAGTTGGAAAATTGTTCTTTGCAAGCTTGCGGGCACAAAACACCTTTCTTCAGGCATAGGAAGTCTCTGCTGGTGTTTTGTGTTCTGGATGGAATAGAAGGCAATATGCAAAATGCAGGTCTGTTAAAATGCAAATGCGTTTAGGATCAGGTTACCTGGGATTATCAGATGGCAGACAGGTTATAATGTGCCATAAATCTAATGTCTATATGTAGTCCATGATTTTTTGTACCCGGTAGATTTATAAAGTGAAGTTTGCAGGTTTATCTACAAAAGGTGCTCTGTAAATTCCCTTTGAGGATTAGAACTGAGAGATTGGAGACAGCGTGGTTGTCTTGTGAGAAGTGTGTACCCACTGGTAATTGGGTATTTTTGTTTTTGATAATTTTGATAGATATTATGGCACATTATACCTGCCTGCCATCTGATAACCGCATGTAACCTCTCTACATTTTACTAGCTACATTCTATCACCAGGTCGACATTCCCCCTATTTCCCCCCACACCTACCTGTCTCAAGACCTACTGTCTCCCATCATCTCTGATCCTCACTGCCACACATTTGCATTTTCACAGACCTCCATTTTGCATACTGCCTTCTATTCCACCCAGGAGAACACAAAACACCAGCAGAATCTCTTTATACCTGAAGAAGGGTGTTCGTGCCTACAAACTTGCAAGAAAAATTTTCCCACCTATTTAATTGGTCTAATAAAAGATACTACATTTACCCAAAAAACCTTGTCTACCTATGTCCTTAGACCAACACAGCTACAACTAACACCCTCGTAACTACTGCATACTTTTCAAAACCTGAGTTTAAGTTACCTATCCAAGAATACAGCAAAACAGAGTCAAGACTAAAATTAGACTTTAGGAATTCTTGATCCCTAATCCTGTACTTTGTCCACTAAACAATATTGCAGAACTACAACCAAAAACTGGTCTCTGGTGAATCGTTTTCAAATAGGACGATCGCATAAACATTTAAAATTGGAAAATGCAGCTTCTTACTGAACATGAAAATAAGGCAAAAGATAAAATGGCATATTTCTTATATGCAGCATAGTTGACAGTGTTAGTAAGTGGAGGGCCAACTTTCAGTGAAGATTACTTCTATAAAATGTGTTGCACTTAAAAAAAGCAATATAAAAAATCAAAAACAGATGGCAGTGAAATATAGCTGAAGATTTACTTTTTATTGTAAACAGAAGACTAGCATAATGATATAGCACAGATGTAAGGTTTGAAGACACTTAGTACTGCAAGCTTATCAGATACTACATAGGAAAAAGGCCTGTTTTTTTACATGATGTAATCCTGCATACACTACTTATCATTATTTAATGTTTTGTTTGTTATCAGTTTTTAAAGACGCGCACACACACACACGCACACAAATTATGTTTGTTTACAGACATACATTTTAACATAAACAATTGATATTAAATATATTGAACATTATAAAAATAAACTACCTTTCTGCCTGTAGAATTAAACTAACTGTTCCTTCTTTGAGGTCAAAGATCAGTGGAGTATTCCAGTTCTTTGTACTAAAAGAGTAATAAAATTAGCATTCATTAAAACACCTAACTGCATAACAAAGAAAATACATGTTTGTAAGTACAGAAAGGATTTCTCAACCAGAGGTTCTCAACCTTCTAAGACTCCAGGCACCCTTTGGAAAATGTCAGCTATTAGTTTTCACTTGATTTTTGACTATAGAAAATAAATAGAGCAATTCTACTCCTGCAAAGAACTCAAAACCCACAACAGGTCAGAATGCTTTTCACACTATGGAAATTTGAAATCTCTCGGCCTATCTTGTGAATTATATTTGCACAGCTAAAAGTGCTAGTATTGTATAATATTGTGGCACTTTGCAACACCCCTGAAAGGATCACAAGGTACCCCAGTGCTGCTGCACCCTGGTTGAGAATCACTGGTACAGACTAGGGCCACAGACCAGATCGAGCCTGCAGGGCTTTGTTATCTGGTCCATGGAGCTGTGCACTAGTCTGAGAATTCGGCAGCAGGGAGCAACGGTAGTGTTCATTAGAGCTCCCCGATGCCAAAATTCTGACCAGTAGGAAGCTGTGTGTGCTGGGTAACATGGCCTTGAGCATTAGATAGCAGGGCTGGATCCCTCCTGGGCAGGCCCCAATCTGAGTTTATGGGAACTGGCCAGCATGGGGCCAGATTCAGGCACAAGGGGCTGGATCCAGTGGGTGCAGAGCCTGATCCACAGTTGGGACCAGCCTGTGGACCAATACTACATTTACTTGGGCCTCAGGGCCAAAAGGCTGGCCAGAACTGATACAAATAGATTTAACAATTGCAGCATTAATTAAAGGATACCAATACAAGCTGTTATGATACAACTGTTACATCCTCATTATTCTGTAGCAATATCAGTTCAGCAAAACTGCTTCAAATTTAATCCTGCTTCATTAATGGTCAAAGTTAGGATTATTTAGCTAACTTGTATTGCTATTGAATCATGCATGAATAACAGTTGCAGCGTAAGAGCCAAGGCACACTCCCAGGCAGCAGCCTCCCCATAAATCATACATTTAGTCATACTGTCAGAAAATATCTATAAGGATATATTGTCAAAAGTATAAAAATCAATCTTGACAGATAAGCACATAACTACCACTTATGCCTTTGATAATTTCACACAACTCACTAGTGTTACATTTTTTGCACGTATTTAATGTCAGCAAAGTTTTTGGACAGAGTGCCAAAAATGCCTGCAACCTCTGCTTGGAAGATATTGGCGTGCCAGGGACGGATGGTGGAGAGCTGCAAGGGGCCCAATCCTTGTTATGGCAGCACAGCCCAGGCCCCTTCCCCACTTCACCCCAAGGCACGCATGTTCCCATTGGCAATGAGCTGGACTGGGACTCTGCAGACAAGTGTCCCTGCTGTGAGCAGCCCATGCTCTGTGATGGGCAGCAAGGGCCATCCCAGAGCCCAAGCCACCTGAGGCGGCTGGGAGGTGAAAGCAGCTGCACCAGGGTCCTCGGGGCCCTCACCCAAATTGTTGCCGGTAGTGGATGCACGTGTGCTGCAAGGCAAATGGCAGAGAAGGGGTCTGGGCTGTGCTGCCACAAGGATTAGACTCCTCATTGCTCCCTCACTATCTGCCCCAGGTGTACATGCACCTGCCACCAGCAACAAGCTGAGCCAGAGCTCCACAGACCGCAATGCAGCTGCTTGCAGCTTCCCAGCTGCCTGCCACAGCTGGCCTGAGCTCAAGAGAAGCCCCTGCTGCCCGCCACAGAACCTGGGCTGCTCGCAGCAGGCCTGGGGGAGAAGGGGGTGGGGGGTTGCAAGCAGCTCCACTGGGGTTTGCAGAGCCTCAGCCCAGCTTGTCTGGCAGTGGGTGCACATGTGCCTCTAGGTGGATGGTGGGGGAGCTGCAAGGAACCTGATCCTTGTTGTGGCAGTGCAGCCCCAGGTCTTTTCTCACCATCTGCCCCAAGGCACATGTACCAAGCAGAATGCCTTTGTGTGTGTCATGCATGCTGGTGTTTGCTGACCCCTGCACTATAGCATATCTAGTAACTTGTGTAAGTAGTAACAACTTAACTTTATAGCACTTATTACAGTATGGGCTAATTCCTCTCTGATGGTCTGTGGGTAGGACAGAACCCTTTTCTATCCCATGGCTTATGCTTTATTTCTGGACTGTTGGTTCAACAGTAATCATGTTGCTGAGCACGGAAGCAACATCTAAGGGTAAGCTCCAGATTCCAAAATCCCTGACTAGTAAAATATATTGTAGGCATGACATGATTACTTATAAAGGGCAATATATGGCTCAATAAATCTTATTCTTTGAGAATCTACTGGCTATTCTGCAAAGCAGAAGTGATGGCTCCCTAGAAGGAGTTATGTCTATGCAGCAAAAGGAGTGGTCACCATAACAGTAACCAATACAAGCAAGTCATATAGCCAAAAAAATTAAACTGGCCACTCCGAATTTAGATATGACGAACTGTTTTGCCCTCCGGCTGCTTGCAGATGTTAAAAAAACCAAAACACAAAAACCCTCCAGAAATGTGCTTTACTGGAAGAAACAGTGCATTACTTCAATCCAGCTCTGCAGCATCTGTAAAGACCAGGGGTTTCAGCAGGGCTTTTTGGCAGTTTTAGCTAAAGCTGATTCAATCAGCTATTAGATAAAAGCACCAAAAAAGCCCCACTAACGTGCCTGATCTTTACATACATCGGGCGAGCCGGGTTGACGTAACGCGCTTCCTCTTCTGGGCACATGCGGGACTCAGAGTAGGAACTTGCCAAGTTTAAATTAAGGCACCTTGTTTTGTTAATGTTTGCAAGTACTCTATATGCTGCTGTGTTGCCTGTCTCATCCTTGATCTGCTCCATACCACACAAAGGGTGCCTGTGCCATCTGCATCATACATGCCATAGGCTGGCCATCCCTGTTTTAAATCAAACTCCAGCATTCTTAAAATTTCTAGATGGATCAGTTGATACTTCGCAAATTCAAATTACTTACGAAAACACGTAACACTGAAGAGACGTTGAAACAACTAAATGTCCATAGTTCAGAGAGGCCTTAATGACTCTGTCACGAAATTCTAGTAAATCCATTGCATCATTAATAACATTACGTACCTAACAAAGAGAAGTTTATGGTAACATGAAATTAAAATTATTGAAAGAAAAACAAACTAAACATTATACTAATTTTTATATATAATGCTTGTTATTCTTCTGCCATTAGCAGTAAAATATAATTATGTAAGAACAAGCTGTTTTATAGGAAAATAAACAAGAATGGTTACATAAAAGCTCCTCTGAACTTGAATTAAATACACCAACATAGTTTTTCAAAGAAAAGGATTATATTAAATATGAATTTTTACTTGCTAATTTGTTTTGTATATTAAAATACCTGGTTTATAAAAAATGCATATCTGTCTTCCTGGAAGATGTGATTATTAAATTAAAATGATACCCTCATCTGGAACACTACAAATAGTTTTGGTCAACCTATCTCAATAAAAGAAAAAAGTCAGCTGAAATGCTGTTAGAACGTATTATTTATGTATGCACAATATTACAGATAAGAAGATAAAGCTTGGCTCAAAATTTTGCATTATAACACTCTGTTTTCACCTACTTACAACTTTGCCAAACATTAACCATTTGGGCTGAAATTTTCCATGATGGGTGTGTTCCTCGGGGTAATTTCTTAAGCTTAAAATATGGCAAAATAGATGTGGCAAGGACATTTCCCTGCCAAAGTGCAGAGAGACTAGAGCATCTTAAAGAAACGATCACCAGAATTTCTAATATGAACAAAACAACGTAATTTGCCTTAGTTCTCAGAAATGGCTCAAGTATTTGGTGAACATTCCACCCCCTAACCCCAATATATATATATTGGAAAATTGCAACCCAAATGGTTAAGGTTTGGCAAAGTTATAAGCAGCTGAAGACAGAACATTAATTCAGAAGTATCAATCAAATCTCAACAATAGCCCGGTTGTATCGCCCTACCCTTAATTAGAAAAAGTTGCTATTTAGTGAAACTGAAAGGTGATACATTTGAAAGATTTTTTTTAATACAGTGCACAATTAGTCCATGAAACTCATTACCACAAGGCAGAGGCCAAAAGTTTAGTAAGATCCAAGAAAAGATAAGATGTTTGGATGAAAGTTTAGTAAGATCCAAGACAAGATAAAAGTATAATAGTTATATCAGATAATACAAAAATCTTTAAATAGGGAATGTAAGCTTATTTTTCAAAATATTAACAGAAATAGGAAGAAACTTGTCCTGTGGGCAGATTAGTCCATAATTTTCCACAACGGGCTGCTTGAATCATCATCAGAAGCATCTGGAATGTATTTATTTTCATTATAGATTCCAGCCTGTCAGGACTGAGTATCTCATTTAGTACAAACCGTGTGTTATCTTTTGGTAAAAGCCTACAATATCCTGAATTAAAAAGCAATAAGAGAGTTATAGCATGATTCAAATATTTTCTCCTAGAGATGAAAGTGAGTAGGACTTACAATTCATCAGTGTAAGTCCTGGTCAACTAATCATAGGCCTGCTAAGAAGCTAAGGAAGTTTGGATGGGAGGAAAACCTAAGGAAATTGAGAGAATATCATGTTTTGGGGAAAAGATTCACATAGAAAATAATGAATTTACTGAGGACAGTGATCCTTCATCCCAGGTATTTTAGATACTGTGCTACTGCTAATTTTAGACTTTGACAGTTCTTTAATCAGCTACAAAATAAGGGCTTAATGCAGTAACTACCAAACTTAAGAGGGCACTCATAAATAGTTTTAAAGAAATATATTTCAGTGGTCTTAATACTGTCATACTGTACAATGTCATTTTTGCTGATGACACTAAGATGTGGGGGGATGCGGGCACGCTAGAAGGGAGGAATAGGCTGCAGTCGGACCTAGGCAGGTTACAGGGGTGGGCGGATGAGAATAGGATGGGATTCAACACCGACAAGTGCAAAGTGATGCACCTGGGGAGGAACAACCAGCACCACACCTACAGGCTGGGGAACTCCATTCTTGTCCGTACAGAGGCGGAAAAGGAACTTGGAGTCATCATTGACTCCAAGATGAACATGGGCCATCAGTGTGGGGATGCAGTCAGGAAGGCCAACCGTACCTTGTCATGCATCCACAGAGGCATCTCAAGCAGGTCCAAAGAGGTGATCCTCCCCCTCTATGCGACACTGGTCAGGCTGCAGCTGGAGTACTGTGTCCAGTTCTGGGCACTGCACTTCAAAAAAGATGTGGACAACATGGAGAGGGTCCAGAGGAGGGCCACTCCCATGATCAGGGGGCAGCAGGGCAGGCCTTATGAGGAGAGGCTACGGGACCTGAACCTGTTCAGCCTCCACAAGAGAAGGCTGAGGGGGGATCTAGTGGCCTGTTACAAACTAGTCAGGGGGGACCAGCAGGAAGTCCCTGTTCCCCCGAGCAGGGACTTCCCAGCAGGAAGTCCCTGTTCCCCTGAGCACTGCCAGGAGTGACCAGGAATAACGGTCACAAGCTGGCAGAGGGTAGATTTAGGCTAGATATCAGGAGGTGCTACTTCACAGTCAGGGCGGCTAGGACCTGGAACCAACTTCCAAGAGAAATGGTGCTGGCTCCTACCCTGGGGGTCTTTAAGAGGAGGCTAGAAGTACACCTTGCCAGGGTCGTTTGACCCCAGCACTCTTTCCTGCCATGGCAGGGGGTCGGACTAGATGATCTACTCAGGTCCCTTCCGACCCTAGAAACTGTGAAACTATGAAGACTGATAGGGTGCCCAGAGATTTCATATAGAAGTATTTTTCTTATTTAAATTTTCAAGAGTAAATGAAGATAAATTCTAACCATAGATTAGAGTTGGTTATATTTCTTAGCTTTTTGCAGAATACAAGACAGAGTACATCTGTTACGAGTCGATGTCTGGGAATGAATGCAGGATTATGAATTTTTACCTGCTAATTTGTCTTCTGTGTTCCCAGACACTGACTCATAATATTGTACCCAGTAAAAAGAGGGATAATATAGAATTTCTGTTACAAGTTTTCCAAATTACATATTCTACATTAAAAAGTTCAGACCAAAAGATATTTAGATGCTTAATTAAGAATTTAGGAAGCTAACTTCAAGATTGAAAATGCTGGCCTGCACTCCAAAACTGAATGTGTAACTGGGAAAATTCGTAAGAATGGAAATTCTATACTATCCCACTGTTTACTGAGTAGGATGTTATGAGTCAGTGTCTCAGAACACAGAGGACAAATCAGTACTAAACACTCAAATTTCTGCATGAATTCACAGAGGTCTAAATATCTACCATATCTACTCAAAAACAAGACAACCCTGCCTATAAGATGACCCCCCAATAATTAGATTATATATACAGAAAATTTATAAATTTGTTTTCCAGACAAGGTTCTTTGGGTAAATCTGATATCTGAATAGATAGATTCATTCCATCCAGGAAGAGCACACACCAACTGCAGAGACTTCCTGAGCCTGACAAAGGGTTTTTAAACACAAAAGCTTGCTAAATTTTTTCCCCCAACTATTTAAGTTGGTCTATTAAAAGACATTCAGATTCACCCAAAGAACCTTGTCTGCCTATGTCCTTAGACCAACACGGCTACAACCTACACCCTTATAATTTTCCAGGTATAGAATCTAGGTATTGAAGGTATTGTGGTCCTCCTCATGAGGAGGGCCACTCACATGATCAGGGGGCAGCAGGGAAGGCCTTATGAGGAGAGGCTACAGGACCTGAACCTGTTCAGCCTCCACAAGAGAAGGCTGAGGGGGGATCTAGTGGCCTGTTACAAACTAGTCAGGGGGGATCAGCAGGCACTGGGGAAGTCCCTGTTCCTCCGAGCACTGCCAGGAGTGACCAGGAATAACGGTCACAAGCTGGCAGAGGGTAGATTTAGGCAAGATATCAGGAGGCGCTACTTCACGGTCAGGGGGGCTAGGATCTGGAACCAACTTCCAAGAGAAGTGGTGCTGGCTCCTACCCTGGGGGTCTTTAAGAGGAGGTTAGATGAACACTTTGCTGGGGTCGTTTGACCCCAGTACTCTTTCCTGCCATGATAGGGGATCGGACTACTTGATCTACTGAGGTCCCTTCCGACCCTAGAAACTATGAAACTATAAGGTTTGCTTTGAATTTGTTCCCCCCTTCCACAGCTACAGCAAGCAAAATAAATTTGAGGGGGTCAGATAAGCCCCAGCATCTTCCCTTTGCAGCCCCTTCTCCCTTTTTACTTTCAGATCCTGCTCTCCCTGAGCAACATGAAAGTGAGAAATAAATTTGAAAACAATGACCTTGAAATAAACATATCTATAATAATCTACATATATTACCCATAGACATAGTTAATCCAGAATTGATGCATTTTACCTGATTTGAAACTGTTGCAAGTTTTAGCACAGAACACGCTTTTAAGCAACTCTTTTATACCTACTTGTATATAATACCAACTTCTTCTTTTCTAATATATTTTGTACTCCAAGTCAAATCAGCCAAATCAGATCCAAATCACATCAACTGAATAGAACTCAGTCGTTTCAAAAACAATATTGACTGAGCAGGCAGAACTCAATTGTTCTAAACACCATGTATGGCTTTATAACCAGCAAGCATCCTCTATCTCAGTCTCTCACCCTGGGACTTCAGATACTCCCAAATCCAATGGCAGGCATCATACATGCAAGGCTAACCGCAGAGATCTTGGGATTTGGATGCTCCCAGTTGATCCGAGTCAAAAGGCCAACTTTTTTTTTTTGTTTTGGAAAATTTTTTGTGTTCCAGGTCAAAGTAGCTCACTTGATTTTAGCCCACAAGAGGCTGAGAAACTATGCAAGATATTAGTCTGAACCCATAAGGCTCACAATTTAACATATACTTTACTGGGTTGGGCCCCAGAAAAGTCAGCAGCATTTTAAGTCATGGTGACCCCACAGCTCAATATTCCTTAGTATGCGTGTGCATTCCACATACCACCCCATAAAGAAGCCACATCCTAATTTGCCCTCCACTCATGACTGGAATCATGAGTTCTTGTCATGAGTCCTGAGATCCTTCTAAAATTTATATGAAGATGAAGCACAGGGAAACCTGTTCTAGCTCTACCACATGGAGGGCAGGGGCACACTGATCACATGCAACAGACTTAGAGAGGGAGCAACAGAGGCATTCTGGGTGAAATGTTTGGGGTGATGTTTGCTAGACATTGGAAACAGAAATCATTAGAAATGGGAAAGAAAGGAACAGTTCAGTAGTGGGAGTGAAGAGGAAGTTGAAATGTATGCAGTGCAGTGGCTCACTATGACTTGAAAAAAAAAGAGTCAGCACTGAGGGGAACTATGGACACTACCATACATCTCATTCAGATAGGCTACACTAACCTATCTGTATGATAGGTTCCTATCAGCATGAGAAGAGCAGTGCATGAAGATACAGGTATGGAGATGGGTGTGAGGATACATGGTATAAACTGTATAATGCATATTTTGGGTTGTTTTTTTTAACTGTTAAAGTGTACTATGATCTGCCAAGTGAACCACAGGGCTGCTTGGCAGAGTGTTGGAGGTAAAGATAGGTATACCTATCTATCTATCTATCTACCTAGACAGATATAGATATTTTTTTCTGGCAAAAAACCACGAACAAACCAGCATGTTTGCCCAAAACAGGCCAAGTATTTTATGGTCATGCTCAGTGTTGGCTGTATTTAATCAACTCTGCAGTTGGTTTATACTATTACCTAGTACAGGCTGCTTTTGGCAACAGTTTAATGACAGACAATATATTTAATGTGATTTCCCACATGAATGTAAAACAAGAGGCTTTTTTTCCTCCATGCTAATTTATTACTCTTATATTCAAGTAAATATGGTACATGTGGATTTAAGCCAGGATTTCAGAAGCAGGATCCTAAAGTTAAGCTCTAGAAACAACATATAGAGCATTTTTACGTGTGGCCTGGGACACAGTACCAGGCACTTTAATTAGCGAGCCGTGCTAATTAAGATTCTGCGTGTCACATGTATAAGCGTCCCCGCACTGAAAAAGTGGTGGCAGGGTGTTTTGACCTAAAGCTCATCAAACATGTTTTATTTCGAAGCACCCTTCTGCCATTTTTTCAGCACAGGGAAGCACAGGGACACTGACAGATGTGATGCAGAATGTTGCTAGACCTCATCAATTTCTGTGCTGAATTTCCAGTGCATTGAAGCAGGCTCCCTGCACATCTATAGGAGCTCTTATGCTTTTTTCTTGCAGTGCCGAGTCTTTAGCAGCTCACCTTGAATTGCTGAATGTTCAAAACTTGCATATTGGAGAGAAAAATAAAAATGTAGATTTAAGAGTCCAGTTTCAGGATCTTTTTGTCTTTTACTTACATCTTGGCATTAGCAGCCTAACTTCAGGCACTCAGTTGATTATCTATCCTTTCCTTGAATCCTCATAAGAGATAGGCTGCATACAGACATTTATTTCTAACATAAGAGAGTTCTTCCATTAGAAAGCTGAACTATATCGACATTCTTCAGACTCATGACTGAAAGGCTTCACAGGTAAGCTCTCCAGCCAGGGGCTGTTTCCTGGGCCACCCTTGCTCTTAAGGGAGCCCAACAATTGACAACCTGTCCCCTTTCCACACAAGTGGTGGTTGGAAGCTGTTGAAAAGCAGCAGCTGCCACAGAGAGCAGGAGGCAGCAATTCCTGCCTTGGGAGAATGCCTCCCCCATCATACTAATTAGCTGACTGGCAGGAGGTGGGTAGAGGGCATTCTCCTATGCTGGAAACCCTCCACATGCCTGGTTCCCAGCCCCTCCTGCTTCCTCTTGCCCCACAGCCACTCAGCTGAATGGCAGGGACAGAGATTTAAAAGCTGGAGGGACCAGGAAATAGGCATGCAGAGGCTTTTCTTCAGCCTGGTTCCCCCTTGTAGCCTACCTGAGCAGCAGCGCAGCAATTTAAAAGCCAGCAACTAAACAGCAGGGCAGCAAGAGGGAGCCAGCAGGAGCCAGGAGCTGGGTTAGGGTGATATTCCTAGAGCCCCATTCTGGCTGCTGGCTTTTAAATTACCACCCCAGCACTCAGCTGGCTGTAAGAGTAGGAAGCAGAAGCCAGCAGGAGCTGGCAAAACCCTTTCTCTTCCCAAAACTGCCTGGTTTGGAGAAGAAGCAGGGAGCAGTGGCTGCTGCTCTCCTCCCAATCTATAGGACAGTGGAGAGAAACTTCCCCACACTTTCTCAAGACCAGGATGACTCCTGGTCCCCACAAGGAGTTAAACCAAGACAAAGCATGTCTCCAAGGAGGCCATTTTTGTTCTTGGAGAAAAAGACAATGTCTGCACACTCTGGGTTTCTACTGGGAGAACTGTGATTTGACCATTTGTACCTGGCCATAGTCAAATCTAATTATATTACATACCAGCAGGAATAGCTCCTTCAATAGCTAGCAAATCTCCCTAGCTTTGGAAGATTTGAACTTATGGCTATAATAGGGTGGGCAAAGCAGCCAAGGACACTGCAACTCTTCTTGATTAGGCTCAGACATCAACTAGAAATCCAGAAAGAATGAACCATCTATCCTTGTCAAAGCTATAGTTGAAAAATTTGTATTCTATACTATAAAAAGCTCAAACTAGTATAGATCACAAGTAGCAATCCACTAACGTAGACAAGATAATGAAAGTATTTAAACTCTATCTACACAATCATTTATAGTCATCATTCTATAGCAGTGCAAATGCCTTTGTTGAGACTTACTGTAACATTATTGCTAATGTAAGTGAGGTTTATGATTCTGTATTTTTGGCCATTGCATTAATGCTGTTCACAGACTCATTAACTGTGTTCCTATCTCCCCTAAAACTCCTTCACTTTCAGACTGCAACCTACAACTACAGATGAGTTCACTTCTGTGCGGTTCATGGAAGCTAACTGGCTGTGCTGGGATACGTCATATTATAGACCTATATTACATCCAGATCAGACCTACTATATAACTGACCATTAATTATAACACTCAGTTATTCCGATCATTTTATAAATCAAAATTAATTAATAAATTAAATATATAAAATAATTTTACCATTTTCATGAGACAAAATTGTACACTCACTATTTTCTATGTCCAAAGGATTATAATTCTGAATCTTGTTAAAAAAAGCCCTGAAATTTAATGCAAACAGCTTAGCTAAAATTACCATTACCTCCATGGTTCTTCTTTTAGTTAACGTTATTTCAAAGTTCTTCCACTCCCAGCGTTGTTCTACAACATGAGCAAAAATCACATGTCCATTTCCACAAGCTCCAGCTATTTGAGTACCATCAATAGACCAAGCAATATTAAATATGCTGCCAGTATTTGGTTTCTCCAAAGCATATGACCACTAAAAAAAAAGAAGAGATATCTTAAAGACATTTTTATATGTGCTTTTGTCTGCCACATTCAACAAATATCACACTAAACAAATTACGATTGGACCCATGGACCTCCCTGCCCACTCCCACCCCCACTGGATCCAGAGCCCACAGCACTCATTCTGGGACCTGCACCACACGTCATTCCCACCAAAGCCTGTGGCCCCTTGCCACCTCCTTTTTTCCTAGGCTGGTTTGGGACTTTGCCATGTGCAGCATGCATCCTGAACCAGGTGCCATGTACAGTATGGGTCCCAGGGAGGGACTTGCATGCAGCACAGTCTCAGATCAACTAGGGTGGGTGCTGCATGAAGTGTGCGTTTCTGGCCCTGTGCATATGGCTGATCCATTCGTGTGCGGGCCAACTAAGACCCAAGGATAGCACTGGGGGCCAAATCATGGAGTTCCATGGGCTGGATCCAGCCCATAAACTGTACCTTTGACACCTCTGCTTTACACAGTCCAGATCCATTAAAAACCTAAACTTTAAAGTTAAAAATACAAAATATAAGGGCTGGAAGCTTTATAATGGCTTACAGTCAGAGGTACCAAACCACCCTGTTTGGTAAACTGATTTCAGACATAATTTACGTACTCAACTATCCATCGAAATATAACCAAACATATAACGTGAAATATAGCAGAACAGGACACTACAACTTTTCACAATATCTTAGAACAAAAATTAATATCTTATCAGAAAGAAAACTGCAAGAAAGGTTTAGTTAGAAAGTAATTGCTTACACTGGAATTTTATCAAGAAAAGACAAGACTTGCTTTTGAAAATGTTGCAACAGCATTTGTAAATGAACACCAGTGGTAAGGACAAATGGTATCAAAGCTCTTTTCAAAGATAAAACATCCAGATGCATAGTGTGTCCTATATTATTTCTACTCACTGTAATGGTACTCAATAGTTTTATACAATATTGAATCACTAACTTTGAAAGCACCTTGCAGATCTTCCAATCTAAAAAGCGAGTAAGACTAGTTTAGCTTATTTTAAAGAGCCTAAAGTGACATGGGCAAAGCCCAAAAAATGTATTTCAAGGTTTTGTTATCCATTAAAAACAAATAATGAAACCATTTTTCTTAAGGTGCTAGCAATTCAAACAGAAGACAAAATGCCATTATTTTTTATTACGCACCTTTCTGCTAATAGGAGTTTTCTCAGGTGGGAATGTCCATTTGGATGACTTCCCAAAGAATATGTTCCAATGGAAAGTGACTGGAAAACCTTCAAAGGTTTTACGAGGCTGACATTCTTTCATCTTCTACTACTAGTTTATGTTATCTATATTTTCTTGAAACACATTAATCAGTTTTTTTAATACAAGTCCAAAAATCATTGGAATAGCAAGAAGCTCTTGATATTCGTTGATAATTTAAGTGATTTGTCACTTACAGAGCACAGAAATGATCTGATGAAACCAAAATCATTATACTGCCCTTCCAAAGCAGCTGCTATAATAGTTAGGCAGATATGCTGGGAGAGCAGCTTCAAAGGGACTATTTACCAAAGACTAAGTAACTCTGTACATGCCTGGAACCCTTCAGAGCCACTCTTCTGATGTTCTGAGTAGTGCTGCTGCTACATTTAGCCTGAAGAAAACAGAAGCTACCCCTACCACATTCCACAGCCTTTGAGAGGCCAAACAGGGAACTAAACAAGGGGAACAAACAAAAGGGATAAGGAGATGCATTTAAGCAGGAAATGCAAATAGAAGGGAAACCAAGGAAAGCAAACAGACGTCCTACATGTGCCATTTTTATGTATTACAACTTACCCTACCAGGTTTGAAGTTTAAAGGAATGGCTTACCATCTCTATGTTAGCATGATGGTAATTTAGACATGCTGGGAGACCACTTTTTCCAAAGTTACAGCAAATACTTTATCTAGTCAGTGCCTGATTGTGAACTCGCTATTTCTATTAGTGGGCAAGTAGTCTTACCAGACTCAATGGGGCTACTTAAATAATTGCATATAATGAAAACAAGACATTCATGACTTAGTTCTAGAGAAATAAACTCTTGCCCAAAAGTTTTAAACAATTTTTAAAAGTTATCTTCTACTGGGCATTTCCCAATCTCCAACTTTCCATAATTCTTTCATTGTCCATTTCAGTTATTGGGCATTCTAATCTAATAGTATCTCCTCTGCTAGTAGGAAAATGGGTAATATTCAATCTTTATTTTGAAAAAAATTTTTTACTTGCTTTCTAAGGAGAAACTAATACTTTATCAGTCTTGCTGACCTTTTCATAAAAAGCTCTAGCTACTTTTATTTACCACTCTCCCTTTCCTTTCAAAGCATATTAACTTGTTCCTGTAAGTGCCCTGTATTACTTTGGTGTCCTGTGTTCATCTGAAAATTTTTTCAATAAATGCATTTCTTGTTTTAAAAAAAAGTAAGTCTTTCCATACCATTTTCTTAATGTTATGAACTACAGGTACATCAAGGTATCTCCTCTGTATTACTGCCTTGCTTCCACAAGGAAGTACCACTAGAATTACGTGCATCATTCATTTAGTATACACTATGTCAGGCTTGTCTAACATATGGCCTGTGGGCTGCCATGCGGCCCACCAAGCCATTTTATCTGGCCTGAGGCACCTGCTCTGCACTCCACAGCGGCGGCGGCGGGGCAGCAGTGAGGCCAGGTGGGCAGGGCCAGCCTGTGGGTGCCAGCCAGCAGCGAGGGGAGGGGAGCTGCTTACCCCCATGGGGCCGGGCTCATCACGTGAGCCGGGTCCCACTGGCGCTGCCCCGAGGGCTGCACGGTGCGGGGCTGCCCCAGCCGCGCCTGACTGAACGAGCTGGGGACAGTGTCTGGACTTCTCCGGCTTCGCCCCTTGCCCCTGGCGCGCAGCCGAGGGAGCTGCAGCATGGCCTGTGCCCTGCCCGCGTGCGTGGTGGACAGAGGCATGGGTAAGTTCCCGCGTGGAGGTGGGGGCGCCTCGGGGCTGGGCCGGGGCTGCGGGGCACATGGTTGCCGGAGCCAGGCTGGGCAGGAGACAGGAGGAGCCCGGCCCAGAGGCGCTCTATGTCCAGCCACAACTTGGGATCCTAATGCCAAAGCCTTTATTTCATAGATTTCATAGACATTAGGGCTGGAAGGGACCTCGGAAGGTCATTGAGTCCAGCCCCCCCACCCAAAGGGCAGGAAGTCAGCTGGGGTCATAGGATCCCAGCAAGATAAGCATCCAACTTGCTCTTGAAGGCGGGAGCTGCTGGTCTGGTGCACCGTGAGGACTACACTAGATGCGCTTTGCTCCAAAGCAGGCTGCCAGCAATTGAATCACTGGAATCTTATGAGAGAGAGCAGCTGCATGTGGGTCCCTTGACACTGTGGTGGGCGAGTGTTGCCTGTATGTGTGTTGGGTGTGGGTGCAGGCGTCCATATGTGAGGGCAGCACTGGGGTGAAAGGGTCAACCAAGAGTGTGTGGGGGGGGTTCACAGTGATGTGGGGGGGTTGGGAGTGGGTGCAGGGATGAATAGGGGGTGCATGTGGGGAAGGGTATAGGGAGCACGCGTGTGTGGGGGGGAAGGGGTGTTGGGAACATGTGTAGGAATGAGTAGGGACATGTGAAAGGAGCACATATATCTTTGGATGGGCTTCCCTAGCGGTCAAGTTTCAAGTTGCCATCAATCTCTGTGTAGAAAAGGGCAATCTATTTTAAGACTGGATGATGCTGACAAGCCCTTCTGATGTTGCTATTTAAATTATAGTCAACATTTAAAACCAGGGTTTTCTTATGTAAACTGTAGTCATAACTAGTTATTAATTCAATAAATCTTCTTGAAGATTATTCTCAAAAATGCCCATATTTTGTTGCTTTGATTAGTTTCCACTCTGGCCGATATCTTTTCCACATTTGACCTGTTGACTTGCATTGTGCTTCTTTCATTCATTGAGAAGTGAGTAGAAGCAAAAGTGTTTATTTTAGTATTATTTCATTCTTGCTTTTATATTGTTTTTATTTTGGATTTTAAATCACATTTCCAGATCCATTTCATTGTCACTTCCTGCAACTTCATTGGTGTCAAAGGTCATGTGACATCACTTCCTGATGTGATACCATTTCCTGTGAGGTCTTTGAATATGGCTTGCTGGCCCACTGGATGATAAAAATTTGTGATCCTGCCCCACGTTCAAAAAGGTTGGACACCCCTGCACTACATCATTCAGTTTTATATGTGCTTCAATTTGTGCTGCCATCTTTATGTTCTATAATAAGGTATCGGTTAACGTCCAATGCTTTCTTAATTTTCAACCTCTACAGGAGCATGGTCAGTAATACTGTCAATATCAACTTTATGATCTTATTATATTCTGCAAGCATGAATTAAATTCTAGCGTATGAAAACTGACTTTCTCAATAAAACATTTACTATTTAGGTTCATACACACACACACACACACACACACACACACACGAAAGAAACCATGAATATATATAATTTCTTATTCTCTCAATTATTTAACTGCTGTCTTTCAGATACAGTCTGTATTACTTGCAATTGCTATATTGTTTTGGATTAGAATACCTATTTTTCTTCCATTTTTATATTTACACAATGTAAAATGCATGTCTTGAATCCAACTCATTTCAGTTTATGCGTCTCTTCTCTGAAGAGATGAGCTGCTTATAGACATACAACGTCTACATGCTAAATGCAGGACAATTTTTCATTACTAGGTTTTTAAAGGGACAGACAGAAATGCAGCTCCCCACTGTAACTCAGAATGCCATGCAAGAAGCGTTCTGAGTTGCAACAATCCCCTGGACCAAACAGAAGTTTATTGTTGGTTCCAGGGGGGAAGAGGAATCTAGCTGCTGGCTATAAGTCTGCAGCCACTTCCCCTTAGCAACGGTCCCTCCTCTCCCCCAGTCTGTGCTGTTTTCAGAATGGGAAGTTGGTAAGGGAGCAGAAGGAGCTTGTTTTAGGGTAGTGTTTCTCAACC